AGGAGAAGCCCCCATGGCTGCCCTGCCTGGCCCCATCCCCTGCCCGGCCCCAGCCACCCTGCACTTAAAAAAAAATTATAATAATAATCCCCATATTCACTGGCTCTGGAAGCAGTGACTGGGACCTCTGGGAGCTTGTGGCAGAGGCCCCCCATGCAGTGTGGGGCACTGGCAGGTAGTGGGGGGCAGCAGGGATCACCCCCCCAACCTGGCACTGGCATGGCAGCTGTTGCATCATGCAAGTGCGCACTGTCTGGGAGCTGGGGCGACTCCACGGGTGGGCCGGAGCCGAGCAGCGCTCAACCCTAGCAGCCCCATCTCCCAGGCAGCGCACAGCGCCCTACCAAGCCACACTGCACCTGCGCCATGGGGCAGCGCCATACAGGTGCCAAGCACGGGGCCATCCCCTTTGCCTCCCATTGCTCTGCATTGCATGGTGGGGCTGTGCCAAAGGCCCAAATTGCTGCTCCTGAAGCCAGTGAGTACAGAGCTTTTTTTTTTCTTTTTAAAGTGCTGGGACTCGGCTGGGGCCGGGAAGGACAACCATGGGGGCTTCTTTTGTGGCTCCCCACACCCAGGGAGAGGCAAGCACAGCTGGAATAGCCACGGGAGAACCTGCAGCCACCCAGCTGTGCCTGCCTCTCCCTGGCCAATCTGAATCACCAAATCTCTCCAAATCAAGGTCAAATCTTCCAAAGCTGATTCAGACAAATCGATTCAGGACAGTAATCCAAATCTCCAAATCGAATCACCATCCTCTGAATCAGCCAAATCCGAATCGAATACTTCCCTATTTGCACAGGCCTACTCTACAGTACATAAAGAACTAGGTGAAGCTTAACTTCAGTACCCAGAAAGACATTCAAGGTGGCAGGGTCTGCTAAAATTAGCTCTACAGTACATAAAGAACTAGGTGAAGCTTAACTTCAGTAGAGCCAGAAAGACACTAGAACAATTTATGAAACAATCAATTTATAAGCATGTGCGCACAAATGACATGGCTCGGAGCAATCCCAGCCAGGTCATGTGTGGGGCTGGGCTCAAGGATCTGGTGGCTCAGATAGTTTTTTCCTCAATCCTCCCAGTTATGGGTCATGGACCCCAGAGGGATAGGTGCATCAGTGAGGTGAACCAGAAGACTCCAGCAATGGTGCCATCACAAGGGGTTTGGCTTCTTTGACCATACTCCCCACTTCAGTGAGAGAGGTAGCGGACTGTTCGGAAGAGATGGCCTCCACCACACCTGGAAAGGGAAGAAGCTCTTCTCGGCCAGAATGGCTGACCTACTCAACAGGGCTTTAAACTAAGATTGCTGTGGGACGGGCGGTCAATCAACAGTTCTAGCCCAGGTCATGCCAATCACAGTAGGTAGCCCAAGAGAACCCACTTTGATGAGAGCCCAAGGAAAGGTCATGTCCCATCACATAAGTAAACCTAGGGCTTCCCATGGCAGACTCAATTGCCTGTACACAAATGCCAGGAGCTTGGGTAACAAGCAAGAGGAGCTGACCCTTCTCCTGACCGCTAAAGATTATGACCTCGTAGGGATAATGGAGACCTGGTGAGACTCCTCCTACAACTGGTCAGTAGGTATAGAAGGCTATACCCTTTACAGGAGAGAGTGTGTTGGGAACGGGGGTGGAGGTGTAGCTCTCTATGTCAAGGAGCAGTACACTTCCCTTCAAACTGAGTTCATTAACCATGGAAGGCAACTTGAGACCCTCTGCGTTAAAATATGGGGGGAGCACGGGGAAGGGAATATACTCATAGGAGTCTATTAAAGACCTCCTAACTAAGGGGAAGAACTGGATCTCAAATTCAATAGGGAACTGGCCGAGGCTGCACGTTCCTGATGTATGATCATCATGGGAGGCTTCAACCTCCCAGAATCTTGTGGGAAGAGCACACAGCCAAGTCTCACCAGTCGCGAACTTTCTCACCTGCATTGATGACCTGTACCTGATGCAAGAGGTCTATAGGCCAACTATGGGAGAGGCACTGCTGGATTTGGCTCTGGCCAAAGGGGATGATCTGGTGAGTGATCTGAGGGTCGAGGGCAAGCTTGGTGACAGCAACCATAATCTGATCAAATGGGGCGGCTGACATCTGACACGCAAGGAAAGGCCAATCTCCTAAATGATTACTTTGCATCAGTTTTCCACCTGCCCAAGGGGGTCATGCTGTCAGACTGGATGCAAAGCATCCAGGGCTTGGGAGATGGGTCCACAATTGACATAGATCAAGTGAGAGAACACCTCAAGAGGCTTGACATCCATAAGTCTGCAGGCCCAGACAGATTGCACCCAAGAGTCTTAAAATAATTGGTGAACATCATAGCATACCCTATGGCCAAGATATTTGAAAGCTCGT